CCCCGCACCCGCACCCGCACCCGCACCCGCACCCGCACCCGCACCCGCACCCGCACCCGCACCCGCACCCGCACCCGCACCCGCACCCGCCCGCCCACCACCACCACCACCACCACCACCACCTCCTCATTGCGAGTGCCATCGTCATCGTCTCACCACAGAAATCACCAGTATCTGCAGGGGTGATCTGCAGGTATGGTTACAAAATCTTGGTCTTCTTTGCTACAGCAGTGGCCTTAGTGCGCGGGAGATCTTAAACAAAAAATCCCAAATTCTGCAGATGGTTGCGGTTGTGACCGATTGGCCTTAGCAGTTAGTTTGCATGTGAACAGGCCCGACTGACAACCTTCATGGCCCAGCCAGAAGCCAAGAAGAGATGTCCCGCTCCCGTGCCTGAAAAGTCGGGTGCTAGAAGGTTCTTCCGGGAGCAGCTGCGAATAGGCGTCTACGAGATCCACAGACGACGTGATGTCGGAGACGCAGCAAGTTGTCGAATGTGCAGGAGATGTTTTGTACGGAAGCTGGCTTCTGGCAATGCTTCTTCCGCTTAGGCTGATGCACGGATTGCGACACAAGAGCGCTTCAAGGCCTTCAGTCCGAACTTGAATCACGACGTGGCGCGCTGCCCTTATGTGTCGTCTCTGCCGGCAGGAAGCACAGTCCGGCATCCTCTTTTCCTCAGATGCAGTGGCCTTGGAGCACTTGTCACGATCCGGGGGCGCCGAAACGGTCACAGTATGCCCTGCACATAGGTGCATCATGTGCTGTGAAGTACCTGGCATGCGAACTGATGATGAGCACGTGGGGACACTTGTTTCGACGTACGCAGCTGCGGCTGATCTTAGGTCTCGGCTCGCGGCATGGACTATCCCAATGTGACTCTCGTGCCGGGCTGTGGCTTGAGCTTGCAGCAGATTTGGTAGTTTGGTTTTGTGTGTGAGTCTTATCATCGCAGGTGCTGCAGTTCGGAGCACCAGCAACTCGAGAGATGTACCCGTGTTGTAAGCTGTAAGGACTGCTTGACTGTTTTGCTGAGTTACAGTTCTGGGCAGGTACATCCACCGAGTGGGTCGCACGGCACGCGCAGGCAAGAGCGGCCAAGCTGCCAGAGTCCCAACAACGGCGATGCTCGGTGCTGATTCGTCCGGCAAGATGTCACGTGAGGTCCTCATTCTGGGAGAACTTGAGAGCTCCTTTTTGACAGCGGTGCAGGTTGTGAAGATGCCTACCAGTAGCTGCTAGCTGCTAGCTTTGTCAGGGTCATCCAGTTGCAAAGGCCAGGAGGCTCTTGAGCTGACCTGACAGGACTTGCCCATCCGGCAGCATGAGAGGGCAGAGGAGTTGAAGCGAGTCAACGAGTTGCCTGGGACTCAGACACCAAATACTTAGGCTTAAGCTGCTGTTGGAGCGCATTTGAGCCGGTTCAATGAGAGCCTTCGTTTGTCGTGCCAGCGAGGCTCATCAAGGCAGTGTTCTAAGCTTCTGCTCGTCGCATGAGCGGAAGTAGCTCGTTGGAACCTGAGCTGCAGCAGGCGACGACTTCCTGGCTTGCCTCTGCACCCCTTCGGGCAGCAGCCAGTGCCGCTTTCGCCTCACTTCTCGTCCACTACAAGGCCCTTGGCGTCAGCCCGGGGCTTGACGTTGCACGCAGCTAGACGCAGCTAGGCTACACTAGGACACATGGACAGGCTTCCAGACTCGTTTCCCGGCGGCTTTCCTAGCAGTGTAGGATGAGTCGAGAAAACTCAGCTTACTCTCAGCTTGCATGGGCTGGCAGGCTACACACCGGATCTTGCACATGGAGGATGATGCTGTCATTCAGGTGTCCAGCGGTGTGCATGTAGTTTCAGCTCAAGCATCAGGGATTGATGCAATCGAAGTCTGCATGTGGTTTTTGTGATGTTTGAGGGCGACGGCAGCAGGGCGACCTCGTTGATTGGTGGCAGCGGCAGTGAAAGTATAGTAGTGGTAGTTGTGGTGGTAGTAGTAGTAGTAGTAGTTGCTGTTGCTGT